AAAAAAAAGAAGTAAACAAACCAATATTGATGTCTACGTTTTCATGTCTGTTAGTACTCTGGTGAATGACATAACTAGTATCTCTCTTAATTGCTCTCTCGGCGCCATGTGGAGGTTTGTATCTTATTGTCATCATTAGGCTCGTAGGCCCTGGGTCCTGGAGTAACTCTATATACCACTAATATTATTTAACTAAGAAAAACGTTTTGGTACCTTGAAAATATGGAGATTTTGTACACAATCATCATCATCATCATCATCATCATCATCATCATTATTGAGGAAACTTCTACAGTCAACACTTGTCGACAGCTGGGTGTGGTGGCGCATGCCCGTCACCCCAGCCCTCAGGAGGCCGAAGCAGGAGGATGTCCGCCAACGTATGGCTGGGCTGCACAGTGACAGCCTATCTTGAAAACTAATGATAATGATTGTCATTTATCACCATCATATGACAGTGACAAAGGCCCGGGACTTAAGTTTTGCGTTCAATCATAATTATTATTATAACTGTTATCATTATTTTATAGAAAAAGACGTAGGAAAGCCTTCGGGTGCTGCCGGTATTAGGAGGGAAGCTCGTGCGGCTGCAGCGGGAGGGAAATCCTCCCTCGAGCCCTCGCTGCAGGAGAGAAATCCTCCCCGCGTCCTCGCTGCGGGAGAGAAATCCTCCCTCGAGCCCTCGCTGCGGGAGAGAAATCCTCCCCGCGTCCTCGCTGCGGGAGAGAAATCCTCCCTCGAGCCCTCGCTGCGGGAGAGAAATCCTCCCTGCATCCTCGCTGCGGGAGAGAAATCCTCCCTGCATCCTCCGGCATCTGTCACGCTCCGTCACTCTCAGGCCTGGACTGGCAAGAGCCCTGTGTGCAACTTCCGCCGCTCTGGGTTGTTCCTGTCTACAGTTATGCTGTGCTCTTCTGCTTGCTTTGGTTTTGTCTCGGGTTTTCCAGTTTCAAAACCCAAGGCTTCTGCGCTGCACCCCTGGTCCTTTCTGGATTTTTTATTCCAAGGCGGGGTGGCGTTAAGTCACTTGGGTGGATGGGAGCCAGAGACCCTCCTGCCTCAGACTGTGGGCTGGGCGGCAATGCACGGGATAGCCTGGGATTTGTCATTCCACATGCGGGGACCAGACAGCCGGTGCGCTGCCCCAGTGAGGCGCTAACAGAGAGTGACAGAGCGACCGCTGCTCCCGCGGGGACTTCTGTAAGAGTGGGGCGCTGCGAGTTTAGGGCTGGCAGACAGCAGGGTGGCAGATCTTTCTCGGGAGGAAAGAGGACCGAGATGGGGCCGTGTCCACGCCAGCTCCCACAAGGACCAGGACCCCTATTTCCCGCACACATGGACGCATGACTAAATATTTTGTTTTCTTTTTTGGCGGTACTGGGGATTGAACTCAGGGCTCGGGCATGCCAGGCAAGCTCTTGGCCACTGGGAGAGATCCCGATTTTTTTTTTTCCTTTGGTACTGGGGATTGAACTCAGGACCTCGTGCTTGCCAGGCAAGTGCTTATTCTACTGAGCTATCTCCCCAGGCCCTGACCCCTAAAATCGTAAGAAATAAAAAACTAACACTTTAAAAAGTTACTAGCTCAAGTTACAATGGATATGTAGTCCCCAAAGCACTGCAGAGATCATTTATGTGGATGGGATTAGATGCTTCTGTGACAAAAGCTATGACAAATGCTGCCGTGAAATGGGCCTGCCGTTGTCACTTTTTGATAAAGTATTGCAAAACTATCCCAGATTTCCCCCTCGATTTCTACTACAGCCAATTATCCAGTAGTATAATATCCAGAACCAAAAGATGTATATGGTCCACACAGAGACCACCCACCCCCCCACACCCCATCTTGCAAGAATCAAAGGTTCTGTGATCAAGCACAAAATAATAAACATGAAAAAAATATACATGAGGTGGTACGTGACAGCCTAATTCAGCCAAGGGCGGCGGCGCCCCACCGTCACCCCGGCCCTCGGGAGGCCGAGGCAGACGGATCTCAGCAGATTCAGTGTTAGCGTCGGCTACAGCGGAGCTCAAAGCCAGCATGCGCTGCAGGGCAAGACCCTGCCTCAGAAGGATGAAAGAGCTCACCCTGCACGGCTGCCTGAGGGCGTCCCACTGCACCCTATCAATCTGTG